CCCCGGCCGTGGCCCTGCTCTCCCCGACGGCCGGAGCCGGAGCACCACGCCGCCCCCCTCCAGGTGCCGCCCCAAGCACAAGCTTGGTGGGCTGGTGCCTGGAGCCGGCCCTGTCGGTATGTTATAAACACAGGGTTATGGGCAAAGTAAGAAGAATAGATTAAAAACTGAAGCTTCTCTCAAGATTGTCCTTGAGTTCAAAATTAGTACAGCAGGGGACAGCCCATGCTCTAAGGCTTAGCTGGGTCTCACGCTCAGTTTGTTACTACAATTATATGCTATCCCTACATATTTACAGTACCGATATAAGAAAATGATAGTCTAGAGTTTAAGGCACTGGACTGGGCCGCAGGAGCTTTGAGTTCAATTTCTGGCTCTGCCACAGATTTCCTCCGACCTTGGGAAAGTGACTTAATCTCTGTGTGTGCCTCAATTTCCATCTGTAAAATGGGGCTTTCCTTTTTCTCACTCTATTTAGATTATAAGCACTTTGGGATGGGGACTGTCATGTGTGTGTGTGTGTGTGTGTGTGTGTGTTGTGCATGCACAGTCTGTGGTACAGTGGGATTCCATCTTGAGCCTCTAGGGGCTACCATAACATAAATAAAAAAGTAATAACTATACATAACACTACTATATACTCTGCCTGTGGTACATAATAGGCTAGTCTCCTGTGGGCTGTGTAATACCTTGGTCTACTTTTAGTTATTGGGTTTAGTGTGAGAGTGGTGTTGGTGGCCTGTGATATACAGATGAGACGATCTATTGGTCCTTTCTGGCCTTCAGCTCTATGACTCTATGTGCTATTAGCTCTCTTGAATCCACCTTTCTCTTTTTTTTACTCCATTGTAGGAGAGCTATTTCTTATATTGTATCTGTTTGTAAATACTATGCCTTACTATTGTTTTATTATTGTTAGGCACCTAACACTTTGTTTACACGGGCCATTTGCCCAGTTTGTATGCTCAGTTGCAGTAATTGCACATGCAGTTCTAGGTGCACAATACCACATCTTGTGTGACTTAGACTTCTTTTTTTTTTTAAATGTAGTCGTGTGTGCAGTGAAATGTAAGCACGGAAGCACAGGTGTTTGCTTTTTCTTTCAAATTCAGTGATTTCGTTTTTCTTTAACCTTTCTGCAGTGAGATAATAAACTACTTGGGTAATTGATACCTGACTCAGATTCAGATTAGTGCCCAAAGGTAGAAAACAGTGCTTAGAAAACAGATCCTGGAAAATCCCTAGAGAACTCCTAGTGCTGATTAAACTAACCAACCATTTCTGTCTATAAACACAGCAGAGAGAGCATTCATCTCCCACGAAAACACTTGACTTGCAAGAAAGTGGTTAAAGTTCTGAAGTTTCAGCCTGTTGTGTTCTTTCATTTATTATTGGTTTCTGCCTCTGGATTCTTTTAGTCAGACTTATCATCATTACTCTTTTCGATGCATGTCTAATCTTCACCCAAAATTTTATTTATTTATTTTTTGCATGGCAGGAAATATCTGTACTGAAACACTGAACAGTACTGGAACTTCCTACCATTGAAAACAGTATGGAGTGCACACTCAGAGTGTGTGTGTTTGAGAGAGAGAGAGAGAGAGAGAGAGAGAGAGAGAGAGAGAGAGAGAGAGA